CTGTCCTCAAACTTGTAGGTATCCCGATACCTCTGCCTCCTGAGTCTGGGATGACAGTTATGCAGGACTGAAGAGTTAATAGAGAACTATATTCTTACTTAGGTTAAGCTAAAACCACAGCTCTTGCAAAAGCTTCCATGGTGCGAAGCTTGCCTACAGCTCTTGCAAAAATAAGCTGTTTTGCAAAAAGCACGAGATATACCCAAGATTACCCAGAAACTGCTTACCCACCCAAAGCCACCCAAAACCCCCAAGACTCAGCCAGGTGGCTGAACCCTGAGTAAGCCCTCCATCCCACCCGTGTGAAACTGCCCTATAAGAAGCCTGCAAGCTTGAGCTTCAGGGTCTTCAGTCCTCAGCTTGACTGTTGACCCGTGTGCACACGTACAATAAACTGCTTCTGAGTGACTCGATATCGGAGTGAAGCTTCTGTTATCAGCGCCGACTCTAACAGGACCATGCCTAGACTTGCATTTGGTTTTTTCAAGACTTGTTAAGGATCAAGGGGTTAATAAATACATAGATAATATACTTGGAGTCTACAAATCCTTTGCAAAGACATGAGGAAAAGTCCCAAGGACCAACCAATCCCACTAAACAACTACATCAAAACTCCACAAAAGCTCCTGATAACCAGGTGGCCAAGGTCAGGCCATCCTAAAAATTCACCAGGACTTATGCAGAGTAAATCCACCCAATGGGAATCCACTTTCCCACTTAAAGAGTTACACAGCTATATTCCAAATCATTAATTCAAAGGGAGATTATTAAAGTATGCTTTTTAAAATTTACTTTCTGGAGGCAGGGCCTTACTCTGCAGGCAAAGCTGGGATTGACTACTGGGGTCAACTTCATGTTCAACTTGAGACGCTCCTGCCTCAGTCTCCTTCCAATCTCCCTCAGATTCTGGCGCTAGGAATACAAGTGTGTGGCACTACGCCCATTTAAAGCAGACTCTTCAATTTAACCTTGCTGTAATTGAAAAGCACATCAATGGAGGAGGTTTGGTAAGAGAGTATTTACCAAACACAGTCACACAGCGCTTATGAATCCGCATGATAAAATAGCACACACTAAAATTGTGGACTATTTACTAACAAGGAAAGGGGGGAGGGGGGTGGGGGGGGCAGAGGGAAACAGGTGGAAAGCAGCGTGGGGCCACTGGACACATACAGTGGTAGCAAGCAGAGCAGGGCAAATCTTGCCTTTTCTGTTCTCTGAACACATCAGGCGGTTTCGGTGAAGTATGTGATTTGGTTTAGAGGAACACTGTGATTGCATCAAGCTGGCCTTGCCCTTGGCCTGACTTTGCGCTCCTTCAGAGATGGCTGGGACTTGCTTGGACTGCCCTCAAGCAGACTGCCCCAGAAAACGCTGCCCTGTGTTGTCCCAAACTGGCTCTCAGGTAAGCTCCAGCGGGCAAGTCCTCCTTATGACAAAGCAAGGTTCATCAGGAAGCATTTGGAAAGATTTATACTCTGGAGGGCTCCTCTTTCTTTCTTCCTTTTTCCCTTCCTCCCTTCCTTTCTTTTTTCTTAAAATTTTTTTTTGGTTGTTTAACTCTTTTGTAGAGTCCTTTTGTTGTTTTGTTTTTTAATCATGTCGCCTCTTCCGGCTTTCATTGTATAGCTGAACCATATGGTAACCTAACCTCTCTCATGCTCTCTCTCTTTCCCTTCCTCTCTCCCGTTTTCTTCCTTCTTCCTCTCTCTTCTCTTTCCCTTCCTTGCCCTTCTCTTCCCCCTCCTCTTTCTCCCCCTTCTCCCCTCTCTCTCCCTCCCTCTCTCTCCCCATTTCCTTCCTCCCCTTCCTCCTCTCCCTCTCCAGCTTGCCCTCTGCATTTCCTAGTGACAAATCTGTTAACTGCTTTTGAAGTCCCGCTGATTTTTTTTAACCTTGATCTAAATCCCAGAAAGTGCCAAGGTCACACGGAGGCATTGTTAGCTCTGTATGCCTTTTCCTTTGACTGTTTTTCAGAAGAAGATAAGGTACACGCATCACAAATAAGTGGATGTTTATGGGCTGAAAGGCTATGCCTTTTTCCAGTGTGAGTCTGCATGCTGGTTTAAGGGGCTCCCTTTATATTTTAAGGATAAGAAGTTAACATGGAGCAGGTTGTTCATCATCAAGCAGGTTTTAGCACTGGGATTTGGAAATCACTTTATAGCCAGAATAAAAAACATTCTCACTTTTAGAACTATCTCCATTGGGCACCTGTAGAAAAAAAGGAAAAGAGAGCAGGGTGTGGAGAAACAAGAACCTTGAATTCTACATCACATCCAAAACTTAGCTCAAAATGGAACAAAGCTTTAAATACAAAACAGAATATTATATATATATAAAAAAAACCCTTCAGAAAAACAAAGCAAGAAGAAATAGCTTTAGAACCTAGGACAGGGACAGAAATGTCACATTTGACACCCGAAGCACAATTCACAATCCACAAGAGCAGAAACTGATGAACCGGACCAGAACACAGTTTAAAACTTTTGTTCTACTAAAAGAAAAACACAAAGCAAAAAAAAAAAAAAAAAATTAAAAAGAAATAAAAACAAGCCATTGGCTGCACCAGAATATTTGCAAACCACACATCTCATAAAGGACTATACATAAAATGTGTAATAAGTCCCCCAAATTCAACAGTAAAAGCCAGAAGATTCAATTTAAAAATGGGTAAAAGACATGAAAACAAATTTCACTGATGATTTAGAGACGGTAGTATTCTTATGAACAGACACTAGGCATTAATTAACACTGCGATGAACTATTACTGCACACTCTTGGAATGGTTAACATAAATACCGACACCATCAAATTCTGGTGACAGCGCAAACAGGGTCACTCAGACATGGCTGATGGGAATGCCATGTGCTACCACCATTCATTCTGGAAAAGACCAGCAGGCTTTGTTTTTTTTTTTTTTTAAATAAAACATGAATTTATTATTTGACCCAGCAATTGGGTATTTAACCTAGAGAAATGAAAACTTTAATGTTCACACAAAAATTTGTAGATCAATGATAACAAGCAGCTTTACTTATAACAGTCCAAACCAGAACAAATGTTCTTCGATAGAACAATGACTAAAAAGCTAACATCCTCCATCCATGGAATAGAACCATTTAACACACAGGAATAAATTAGTGATAACTACTACACACACAACAGCGTGGATGGATCACAAGTAAATTACAGAGAGGAAAAAAAACTAATTACCATAAGTTATATAGTATATGAGTTCATTTATAATAGTATTGAATTGAGAAACTGGAGCCTAGAAATTCACTAGTAGTTAAAAGAGTGTCAGGTAGAGCAAAGGGCATGAGAATGGTTACAAAAGGGCAGGACACAGTATCCTCTTTTAGGGACCAGTTCAAGTTGACTGTGACACTGACCAAACCAATCTACTCACAAGATAGAACTGCATATAACTAAATATGCGCACACACACACACACACACACACACACACACACACACACACACGTGCGCGCGCTTGTAAATCTGGTAAACTAAACAGAGGTAGCACTCCATACGAATGTCAGTGTCGGGCTGGGCAGTGGTGGTGCACACGCCTTTAATCCCAGCATTTGGGAGACAGAGGCAGGTGGATCTCTGTGAGTTTGAGGCCAGCCTGGTCTACAGAGCGAGTTCTACAACAGTCAGGGCTACACAGAGAATCCCTGTCTCGAAAAACAAGAAAACAAAAAACAAAACAAAAACGTCAGTTTCCTAGGGCAACATGTTATTACTAAGGGGGAAGTGTATGAAGAATACAGGATTTCTCACCCATGACATCTATCTACAAGGAAATAGATAATTATGTCAAAAGAGTTACACAGTTCTTTCCCTAAATGTACCAATTTTCTAATGGCTCATCCATTATAAGGCTGACCTCTTCCTACCCTATGTTGTTACTCTCTCTAGTCCCAAGAGCAGGAAACATTCTGCTATGATAAATACTCCAACTCCTGCTTTTCCAAGTACCTGATTTGTGATTTATTATTCTGACTTGGGCATGTCCTTTGGAGATAGCCCTGTGTTCGAATATTGACTCCAGTGCTGCATGAAATGAACAAAACATTTTCTGAGTCTTATGTACCTTGCTTGTTAAATGGAAATAAAATAACCTATGTCCAGGGCTTATTTTGACGATGTACACTAAAGCACTCACACACAGTAAGTCATCAATCTATCGCCCTTTCTCACTAAAAGTCTTAAATCTAGCTTAATTTTTGGATAAATACATTGACAAAAAAAACACAACCCACTTTGGTTTTAGTTCTAAGGCTTATATTTAGAAAATGGGAAATGCATCTTTACAAGCATAGATTGCAGGTTGGAGATACAGTGAGGCTAAATTCAGTTCTTAAGCATACCAACTTAGGAGCCCATAATGATGACTTGACACCCAGGCTCTCTCTGAGGCCAACCGTATTATCGATCATTTAATTATGACTAGTGCGTGACAGCCAAGCAGTGGCTCAAACCTGTAACAAGCAGACACCAGATACTCTATCATCAAGCACGCATACATTAGAGGAGCAGAAGCCTTAAGACATGGGATTCTAACGACATCATCTCACCCATCCCAACTACAAAACACGTGTTTTCTTAGTCATGACTCACTGTAATGCTTTAAATGTGTCAGATTTTAAATCAGTGCCCAGTCAATTAAATTCCTGACCGGCAGGAGCTAAACACCCAGGATTAACACTCCAAGGAAGCCGCTGAGCACAGAATTCCATGCAACCCACAGGTTAGCACAGGACTGCAATACCCTCCAAGGGGCTGGAGCCTCAGAGAACCATCAACTTAGAAAGACCGTCATTCCTCAGACGCTAACTTCACAAAGGACAAAGGATAACTTCTGTTGGTCACTCCCCCTCCTGCAGAACAATCATACAGAACACAGAGTGCCAAGTAATTCTCGAGGCCAAAGTCCTCTCGAGTGTTATTGTTTTAAGCCATTGATAGAATTTTGCAAAAATAAACGCTTACCGAGCAAAATAACTCTGTTTCCGTTCCTTCTGTTCCTTCTTCTCCTCCTTGGTATCCATAATACACAACCAAAAGTGCAAAGTACTTGGAAACGTCCTTTTTAATCAGTGAGTCATATTCCTGCAATTACGAAAAATAAATAAATAAATAAATAAATAAATAAAGCAACTATGAGTTGAGAAGTTTACAATGGCTAATAGGCAGAATAAAATAGAGTTACATGGTCCAAAACAAATGAAGGATAAACTTTAACCAGGAAATAGTCACATGAGTCAAGTCCAAAATGCAAATGGGCTGAGAATGAAGCAAACCACAACACTACCATGAGAATGTTTAAGCCACAAAGCAGACTATGGATGGGAAATCAAACTGAAACGCTTTCTTCATAATTAATGATTTCAAAACGAAAACTCCCACTGACCAGAAGACTGAGGGGTAGGTAGTGCTGCATGATGCTACTTACTCACTAATTTTTTTAAAATACTCTGCACAACATCTCCCTTTCCTAGTAATGCATCATAAATCGTTCTCACAGGTAAATATGAAGACGGCTCACTTAGGTGTACTCCAGAAATGCGTTTTGCTCAAAAGTAAACCCACGTCAGCATTCTCTTTTGCCTTCAGGAACATGTCAGCAAGAAGACCCCACTTGAACAAATGTGGAAACGAAAGCACAGAGGCTCAGGAAATGACTTGGGAAGCGGCGGCTCTCTGCACTTGCTCAGCCTCTCTCCGGCCCGACATCCTCCACTACACTTATTGCAGTAGTGTAAATGAATTTTTTTAAAAAAGCTTCTTTCTACATCAATCATCCCCAAATACCACTCGAGTCATGCTCTTCCTCCTCTACTCAAAATCCTCCATGTCCACCCACTACCAGCTTCAGCAAGTGGATTTCCTACTGCGCTCTCACACTCACCCAATCTCATGTATGTCCATCGATCAAATTTCAATTTAAAGAAAGCAAAGCATGTTTCTAAGATAAAATTGTTTATGTATTTATTTCAATTAATGCATCTGTATACATAATATACATTATAGGAAAGGCACTATTATACATACTGGAGTTCAAGCTAAATGAGGCATGAGATTTGCTCTAATGGAATCTACTGCCATTTGTGAGGTAGACGCAATATTGCAATATTATGAGACATTCACTGTTTCAGAGGAGACACAGGTGCCACAGATTATGGGGAAAATAACAACCACTCAAAACCAGTATCCCAAAATGTACGTACCTCAAAATGCCATGTTGGACATGAAAACATGCATTTTTTTTGTCAATTAAGAGCCCTATTGTTTTAAAATCATTTTTAATTATGTGTATGAGTCTGCTGTGTGCGGGTATGTGCACGTAAGGGGAGGTACCGGAAGAGGCCTCAAATCCCCCCGGAGTTGGAATTACTGGAAGTTGTGGGGTGCCGGGAACCAACCACAAGCATTCTACAAGAATAGTATATGCTCTTCATTGCTGGCTCATCTTTTTAAACCCCAAAACTCTCAATATAAACAGACAAACAAACCCACTCAGCCTTAGATGGCCCACGTGATACCCTTATCTCACATAGTAAGGACATGGGCATGAGTGTGGGCTTCCCAACACAGGCAGAGGAGAGTGGTTCAGCTGGAACCAGAGCAAGAGAACAGAAGAGTTCCCTGCTCCTCCAGTGCGAAGTGCGCAGCACAGTAACGTGGGACTGAAAAACAAGGCACGGGAAGGACAGGCGTCATGGAAGGAAGATGCCTTTGTCACACCAAAGAGCCATACATCATCCCAGCTAGGCATCCCATGCTCCCCACTCGCCGAGGCACTTGCTGGCCATCTCTAAGTGAGCACACCAAAGCCATGGACTGTATCTGCAGCTGGTATGCCATGAGCAAAGAGTTCCGCGACGGTTCCTGAGAACACCAATTTTCTCATCCTTGGTACATATGAAAGGAAGTCGCCAGAGGAGTCTCTGGTGAGTCAGTGTGGCATCATCAGGATCAGATGATGACTTGGAAGAATGAAGGCAGTAGATTTGTGAGAAAGAACTTAGGGTTAAAATGGGTGAAGGGAAGAAAGCTCAAAACTAGGCAACAGCAATTGGTACAGAAAGGAGAGTCAATTCGAGGAAGGCTTGGGAGGCAGATGAATTGAGATTTGGCAGTCTATTCAATATAGCCTGCACAGGAGAAGGAATGAAGATGATCTATATTTCTGCTTCAGGGACCAGGTGGACTGTGACAGCAAAGCCACCATTCAATGTACAGGAAGAGGCACAGTGTGCGGGGGATGGAGGTGGTAATAAGGAGACTGAGATCAATGTTGGCTATGTATGCCTTCCAAGGGCCTGTGGGTGCTCAACTGGAGACATTCTCTAGTCTTTGCTTAATTCGGTTACAATGAGAGCACAGGAGGATAATAAAACACTAGAGGAAAAAGAATATGAAGTTTGCAGCATATGGTTATCATTAGGAGAAAAAGAAATGAAAAGGAAAAAAAAGTATGATGAGATCACCCTGGAAGCTTGGCATGGACTGTGCCTTCAAAAATATAAAAATAATAAAACTCCTCCATGGGGAAAACAAACGTGAGCAAACAACCAATGTGTGGTAGCAACTTGAAGCTGCCAAAAAAATAGCCCTCAGGATTTAGAGCATAAAAGGTTCTATTTTGATGAAAGGAACATAATAAAGCATTCAGGGTGCTTTATTACTGCAATAGGTACAGAGAGCTGAGAGACCCCAGGAGGAGGGAATACCTTATCAGAAAGGTAGGAGTGGAAAAAGGGAATCAATCTTGATGTCGTTTATTTGGGCTCCTTATCTCCTTTATTAATCCTCAGAACCACTTCACTCAGAAATCCTCACTGTCTAAAGGTGGGGGCGGGGCATGAGATGTCAATCAATTTCCCTTACTCGGCAGCACTGGAATAGGGATTTATTCCATTTGGCACACTCTGGTGTCGTGTAATAAACTTTGGAGTCAAAAGCAATCAGAGACGAAGCAGATAATGTCGTATGGGATCTGCAATGGCCAGTGTTACAGCAAAAACCGTGCAGGTTAAGACAAATGTGGCTATCAACCAGCACCGAGTCCAAAGAGCAATGAGCATGGAGGCCACACTACAATGAGCTGAGGTCATTTATGTGCACACAAGAATCTGGGTGATAAGAAAAAGGTGGGAGCTGAACTTCAGGCTCTAGCTAGCTCTATCCCACACTATGGTTTGGAATCGGGGCCCTTTCTCAACTCCACCCTTTCCTTCATTCCTTTCCCAAGCTTGAGGTTGCTTCCTTTTCCTGATCGGTTCCAGCACAGGCCTTTCTTAGTGTGCCCTTTTCTCTCTTGGGGAATGCAGCTCACTTGTTATCTGTTACCTCAGGGCATTGCACCACAGACTGTGACAAGCCTCCTCACTTAGCTTCCACAGGTCCAAACCATGAGCTGCCTTCAGGCCAAACAGCACCTTGGTGGACACGTCCTTTGACTCTCCCCAAGTATATGGTACTACAATTAGCAGAAAATTCAGATAGACATTCAGACAAATGACTGCGTGCGTGCGTGCGTGCGTGCGTGCGTGCGTGCGTGCGTGCGTGCGTGCGTGCGCGTGCGTGCGTGCGTGTGTGTATCAAACAAAGAATTCTGATGGGTGATACTAACTCCTTCCAGCTTTTTTCAGAGTCCTGAATGGACTGAAATCCTAGGCTCTCCATCCTCCCTGGGCCACGTGGCCTAAAGTTCTCTTCCACATGGCGCAAACATGTAATGGTCTCTGTTGATTAGATTTCTCCTCATGAATAAAAATGAAGTCATAACAACCTAATTGGAAAATTTTTATATTGAAAGCTGGGCCAGAAGCTAATGTTTGATTCCAGTACAAAAATATTGATAAAAATAGGCAAGAGAGGGAAAGAGTAAACAACCCGAGAACCGACATCTGCTGCTACTGTTCTGTTCAGAACTAATGGAGCCCAAGCCCCACCCCATCCCCAATATTCTATTAGATAAATTAAATATGCTAATGTTGCTTGTCTTTAGGTCTGTGAATTTTAAGATGATTCTTTAAACAAGACAGATGCTCTCATTTCAGCTCGAAACACAGCAGCAGATTAACCAGAAAGAGGTGGGCAGTGGACACTATGAAAATGATTTGCAGAGAGCACCATACAGCAGCCTTCACGCTTCAGTGAGGAACCAAAGCTCCTAAGTCAGTCTCTAATGGGAACTACATTTTCCCGGGTAAGTGGTTATAATGGGCTTCTTAAAAGCCCTTCATTCACTTAATGTTGACATTTTCTCACATCAATACACTCTAGACCAGAGTCTCCTGTATTTATGGTTTATTGTAGATCTAAATGTGTTTTCTGAGGGAACGCAAGATAAATCTTTCATCTAAATGTCTTTGTGTGTGTGTGTGTGTGTGTGTGTGTGTGTGTGTGTGTGTGTGTGATTTTTAAACCAGAAGGGCCAGTATCAGCCTAGATTCAGTTCATTTTCAAAAACACAGAAACCCTCCCCTCATTAATGCTATGATACAGAGAAGGTTTTGCTTTGTTTTTTTATATTACTAGTGCAGTGTCCTCTGTGTGAGACCGTGGTACCACTGACAGAATTCAAGAGCAGAACCAGTGGAGACTCCCTATCATAGTAAGTCAGTGTGGACTGCACAGTACTGCAAGGCTTCTGGACTCACACCTGACACACTGTAGAGCCTTGGGCAGGCAGGTAGAACCAGTCAGGACCAATCCACAAAGCCCTGCAACTGTTTCCCCAATAACATGTTTCCTAATATACAAATGAAATAACGACAGGACATGTACCGGGGCCTCGTTACACTGAGTCTGGCCACTTCAGAACAGACCAAAATGTACCTTTTATACAGGCACTTCCTTCCAGAAAATTACACAGAGCAAAACATGACAGGTGTTCATTCTCTCTCGGAGCCACATTTAAACAAAGGAAGGATATTCAAAACTCACTATTAACCCAGGTCAGAAATTTGAATGTTTTTCTTAACAAAAGAAACCTAGGAAGAAAGACATAGAACTAAATACAAATTTGTGCCACAAACCTTTGAGAAAGCCAGGAGGCAATACCTCAAATAAACAAATATATAATCATACACAAAAAGCAA